GCAGAGATAAGGACAGACAATACTGCACTTTGTCCTGATTGAATCTTTCCACACTCTGCTAAGACCTTTCATCGAGGGCCCCTTTCAACAGCCCCGGGGAAAGGCTTTCTCAAGTTTTTCTCCAGCTCGTTTTCTCTCAGCCACGGACAGGATTTCCTGTGGGTTTTAGGACGACAGCACCCAGAGATCTCCGGAGACAGGATCTGCTCCAAGGATACGGTGCCCCAGAAACTTACATTCCTCTGCATTAACTAGAACACGCCTTCTTCCATTCTCCCACCCACTTCCATCAGGACGAGCATGAAAATCTGTTTGGGAAAAAGCAGCTCCCCTTCCACTGGCCTTTCTTTTAAGAAAGTAATGTATGGTTATAGAGCGTGTGACTCTATGTAAACATATTGATGTAAAGGGAAAAAAGGAAAAACCGGCGAGAAGCCAGAGAAGAGAGGAACACGTTGCAATAGACCAGAAAGTTTTCTGTGGGTTTTGTTTGTTTTTAATTCAGAGACCCCACCCCCCCCAGCTGCCAGCCCCAGGAGGCCAGAGTCTATACTGGTGGCCTGGGGCCAAGCTGTGTCCGTGTCCTTGGGCTCTGTACAGCCAAGAGCTACATGACCCCAAAGAAGACCCTGATTTACTGGGGACCTCTCTCTCTGCCGATGATTGCCTTGTACATTTGGGGTCTAGGCCCTGCCGGCAGAGTGAACTTTTGGGCAATTTGTTTGCATTTTGTATGCAAGTCACACAAAACAGAGTTGAAGCTCTGAATATGGACTATGGACCCCCCCCCCCCCCCGCCCACAAGCCCTTCCCAAACACGCTTTTTGCTCTCTGTTCTAAAGCAAAGAAGCAGATTCCTATTCAAGCATGGCCTGAGCTATCTATCTGGACAAAGCGCTGACTCCCAGCACTGCCCGCACCCCAGGACATGAGGCCCATCGCAAACAGCCACAGAAGCCAGAAGCCAGACTGAGCGAGAGCCGAGTCTGCCCCAGCATCTGACAGGGGTCAGGCTCAGAGCTGTCACTCAATAAATGCTTTTTGAATGAATGGAGCAGAATGGCATTTTTGAGAAAAAAAGGAAGGAGAGAAAAGACAGAATAAAGAACATTCGGATGAAAGAGAAGCCTGATTTCAGTAGCAATTAATTTGATCCTCTGAGTGTGTGCAAAATTTCCCAAGCCCAAAGATGGGATGGAGGAGCTCATCCTGGAGGCATCTCCAGTCTCAGGGGTTCTCGCGTACTGCCCCTGGTTGGCTCATCCACCCCGGATGTGCAGCAGCTGTCTCCAACTTTTCTTTTTCTTTCTTTCTTTTTCTTTCTTCTTCCTTCCTTTCCTTCCTTCTTTCTTTTTTTCTTTCCTTCCTTCCTACTTTCCTTCCTTCCTTCTTTCCTTCCTTTTCTCCCCTGAATCTTCAACCTTGCCCTCCACCCCAAACTTCTTTAAAAAACAGCTTTACGTAAAGCAGACCATGACCTTAACCAACACCAAAGAAACATCCAAGCAATAATGTGGAAGACTCATAACCAAGATGTGGACATTAGAATGTTTACTATTATTCTTTATGAAACAGACAACTGCAAAAGGAAAAAGTCAGCCAATTTTTCTAGCAAGCTGAGATCCCGGGAATGCCTGCACAAAAGACAAGAGAGCAACCTCCCCAGTTTCAGCAACCACTAGGTTTATATTTTTTTCCTGGTTTTTACTGTTTTGGTAATATGAATTGAAAGAAGAAATATTAATACCACATGGGGAGAACCCCAACCAAAGAAATCTGAAATATATAGTAAATGCTTTTTTTTTCCTTTTTTGTTCATTTTGGATGCTGGTGCTAAACTTCCAAGTGTCGTGATTTAAAAAGAAATTTTATGCCCTTATTTATTTCTAGGATGAGGGGAGGATAACATTTTTGCTTTCTTATGTGACTCTTTAAAAATGTGCAGTATGAAGTTCCTCAAAAATAAAATTTTTACCCTTGAAAGGAAAAAAAAAAAAACCAGCTTTAAAAAGGCTCCAGACTTCCTCACTCTGAAATGAACCTGCCTTCTCTCTCCTCTAATCTCCCGACTATCACCTTCTCTGCCCTTCTCCCCTCTGCACCCCACCACACTGGCTTTTGCCCCGACTCTACCCACTCGTTAGCTAACAACCCCCTGAAGAACTAAATCCAGTATTTTCCAGCGCTCCTCTGACTTGTCAACCCCACCTCTCCACGAAAAAGACTCTTCTCTCAGCTTCCTTGACACCTCAGCCCTTCGGGCTTGCTTCCCATCCCTCTGCTTGTCCCTTAAGTGGATGTATTATTCCCTTCTGTCTTGGGCCCCCTCACAGCACCCCAAATGCCTCCCAACTGGGGCACCCCCAAAGCCGCATCTCCAGCCAGGGTGCTCTCATGCCTGTCAGGTCTGTAGAGTGGACTCCCCTGTGAGACCACCACTTGGATATGTCATGGGGGCCTCAAATCCACCTGCCCTACACCAGGCTCCAGGTTCCCCCGCCTGGTGCCTGCCCATCCACCCAGACACCCAAGGCAGACAGTTTGGATTCCTGTCATCGGCACCTTCCCCACACATCCCGTCTGTTAGCTCTTCCCATCCCCGCTGACACTGCTGTTGCTCATCATTCTGACCTCCTCACTAGGATCCCTGTCTCGATGCTGGACCCCCGGTTTGAGTTCGGGGTGCAGGCTGGTGGTTAGGATGGGTGGTGAGGCTGTGTTCACACAGCACTTTATAACTGACTGGAAAGTCCTTGATGGTATCAGAGCAGGCAGGGCAGAGACGATGGAAATTTCAGGGAGCTAAACCCCCATCCTCCCTGGCCTCTCCCCCAGCCCCCACTCACAGATCACTCAGCTTTCTGGGACATGAATCTTTCACATCTGGTCCTTCTTGAAACACTCGAATGGATCCCTGAGGTTCCCTGGTTCCTTAGCGGGATGCATGGCTCCGAACAGCCTCGTTCCCACTTAGGGCTGCACACCCTAGAGGGTTCCAATTCATGCCTTCGCCCATGCTGTTCCCTCTACCTGTAGTGCTCTTCCTCCCCTTTTCACCTGTCTAACATCTACCTTTCATTCAGGGAGCATTTGTTTTAGGTCAAACTGGCTCATCACAAATTGAGAAGGGGTTCAACATCAACACCTTTTAATATTCTGGTACAAAGAACATTTTTTGGGCACATGATCGATGTAGCACAACGATCATTACAAGATCTCCTTTTCAAAAGAGATGTTTCTAATTGTAAACCAGTGTTTCATCTTATTTTGCACCCATGATTCTCCTACTGACCACCAGAGAAACTGCATCTAAAAACACCCAACCTTGCATCCTTTCCCAGCTTCCCTGCCAACCGGGCCGTCCCCTCTCTTTCCTGTGCTCATCCTCCCCTGGAAAACCTGTTCTGGAAGACTTTGGGGATGGAACCCTCACAGGTGTTCCCCTCCCTCTGTCATTTGCCCCAAATGCTGCTGTGGGTCCAGACTTCCACCTGTTGAGAGAACAAACGATTCAGGGAGAAAATGAAGTCCCAGGAAGAGACAGCAACTTGCTGAAGGCTACACAGGAATTTTGTCAGGGTGGCAGTCAGGTTCTGGGGCCTTAGGACCAAGATCTAGGGATTCCCAGGCCCCACCTCCTTCTGCAATTCCACGGCCTGTGATCCTCTGTCCCAAATGCCACACATAATTAGAAGTTATAATCCTGTAATTCCATGATGACATCTTAGAACTTAAATATACTTTAAAACTACTTTTTTTTTTTTAATGCTAAAAGCAATTTAACCAAAAAGAATTTTTCCCACTCTAACCTCACCTGTTTCTAGTTCCCCTCCTGTCCTGCCCATCCCCTGGGGCCACTGCTCCTCACCAAAGAGGAAAAGCCCAAAGGCTGTGTCAGGTGGAAGAAGGAAAGATTCCAAGTTCATTTGCCGACTGGATCGTTAGGCTTTTAATAATTAAGGATTGTCCTGTGGGAAACAGTTTCACTTCCCTATTTATAATTAGGCACTCCGCCCGCTGTCCTATAAGTTATAAAAACAAAACAAAAACACAACAATCTCTCAACCTACCCAGTCAAAGCTGGCCAACCGCCAAAGGCTATTTTTAGACTCGCTAGAACCTCCAAGGAGGCAGGGTGGAAAGTGTCACCGCGTCTCTGGGTTCGAAAGCATCTTTGTACTGCAGGCCTGGCCACCTGCGGGCATCTCCGCGCCCCCACCCTGCGGGCTGTGGTCGCTTTTGAGGGACTGGGCTGCCGGACTGTTATCCCAGGGCGGGTGGCGCGGGGTGTGCCGAGGGGGGCAAGGACGTACCAATCTCCCGCGGAGCCCGCACTCTTTGCGGGTCTCTCCAACAAACAGATAAATCCGCTCTGGCATAAAATGAGCAGGGGCGAGGCCGCGCGCCCTCAAGTCTGCTGCGCGTACTCCCTCCCAGGCGACTCGGGGCAGAAAAGGGGGCAACGCCCGAGGTCACCTCCCACCGACAAATCTCCCCTGCCTTCTAAAAATCGAAGAAGCGGACACTGGAAGCGTCTGGAGGCTAGAGGAGAACGCCAAGCCACCTGGAGTGATCCCACTATCTCCACCCGCGCCCCGACCAGCGCTCGGGTTCAAGGTGGGCTCCGGTCCCAAAGTGCCGCAAGGCTGCGGGAGCCCCCCAAACTAGGCATTGATCCCTTCCCCAGCCGCGCGGGATCGCCGGCTGGGGCGGCCACGGGCACCCCTCCTTGCCCCCAGCCTCTGCCGCCACCTGCGCGGGGCAGCCCCAGGCACCCCTCCCCGCCCCCAGCCCCGGAAGCCACCTGCACTGTGCCTGCGGGTTCGAAGCCGCCGGAACCCTCACCCGGAGCCTCTGCCCCTCCCGCCCCAGGCCAGTGCGCCCCCTCCCCCTCCGGGCCTGGTCGACCCCGGCCGCGCGCTCCCGCAGCCCCCTCCGCAGCCTGGGTGCAGGAGGTCTGGAGCTCTCCGTAGGCAGCCCGCCCACCCGAGGCCACCCACCTTCCGAAAGTAGCCGTCGCTCTCTTTTTCCAGCGGCTGGGGGGCCGCGGGTAGCAGCGCGTCGGTCATGCTTGCGGTGCGGACGCGAAGGGCGGACTAAGTAAGGCTCTTCAGCGCGTCCGCCCGGGAGGGCGCCGGGATCCGCCCCCGTCCCGCCCCGCCCGCGCGGCAGCCCCTCCAGCCCCGCCCCGGGGCAGGCCCCGAGCCCTGGAGTCCCAGCCGGGTCCGCCGAGACCACGCCCCTGGCCCCGCCCCGGCTCCGGATTGGCCGGGCGGAGCCGCGCCCCAGGTCCGAGACTCGCCGCGGGGAGAACTGGGGCCCCTGGGCGCCTCGCTCGCTTTCTCCGAGCCTCGCGGCCTTAATCTAGGCTTCGATACTGTGTCAGTCCTGCGGCGCAGAGGCGGGGGTCTCCGAGGCCGCAGCAAGGCCGGAGCTAGGAACCCGGCGTCTTGTCTGGAGCCCCGGGGGTAAACGCGGTGCGCCCGGATGAAGTCGTGGCACCTCCCTGAAGGAGCACGGACACCGCGAGGACAGTGACCAAACCCGACGCCACGTAGAAGGCGCGGCGGGAGTGCTGGACCCTGAGCCGAGCGGTCAGGAACAGCTTCCGCCTCGGGGGGACCCGGGACCGAGTCGGGGACGGGGAGGAAGAGTTCGTTGAGCCCCTGCGGGCCTTAGCTGGGTGACTCAGACCTTTTGGCGGGGCGGTCAACCCCATTATTCCCCCACCCTCGCTGCAGAGAGTAGGCAGATTCACTGGGGGTCGCGGACCGCGCTGGGGGATCCCCAGAGTCTTGTGCCGCAGAGACTGGATGTCCTCGAGTGCCTTTAACTACCACTGCAAACCTCAGTTTTCTCAGCTGCAAAATGGGGTCAGATCGTGCTCTCTCGAACTGGCCGACGGTATTGCGACGAAAGTGCATATTATAGCCCTTAGGCTGGGGTGTAGACGCGCCTAGCTTAGGAGTGAAAGGGGGACGCCTGGGTTCACACCACCCTCTCACCAACCCACCCCCCGTTGACCCGTGGACTCCGGGGCCAGATGCCTGGCGAACACAGTGCCCAGAACCTGAGGCCGGAGCCGGAAGCACCCCCCATCCGCCCGCGGGGCCACGCCCCTCTGCGCTGAGGTCTTGCAGTCCCTAACCCCCTCCCCCAACCGAGGGACACTTTTGCGCAGTTGGTACTGGGTTTGGCCGTCGCGGTAGATGCAGCAGGTAGAATGGAACACAATCTGCTTTCAAAACAAGCCAACCATTTCCTGCTCTTCAAAAAAACGGGGGGGTGGGGGCGGCGGAGAGGAAGGGGGACGAAGTGTGTGCATCAGGGGTTGTTCAAGAGTTTTAAAATAAATAGTGGCAACAACCAAGGACAAATGATCGAGTAAATGTAAAACAAAAACAAAAACAAAACAAAAGAAACCAACCACACAAACAAAAAAACCAAAAGAACCTCTAAAACAAAAAAACCCTCCTCATCACTGCCTGCAGACTCTGAAATGCAGCACAAGAAAAGGCCTGTCCAGAAAGGACTTTTAATTCTAAGAACCTGAAGAGTCCTAACCAGCTCAGGTCCAGGACAGGTGTTTGGGAAACTCTGATGCAAAAACTCCCTGTCTCTCTTAAGGTCAGAAATTGACTATTAAACTAATAGCATATGTCGGTCATCCTGTAATAAATCCATTGCCCTGGAAACACACCAGGCGGGTGCTGGGAGTTTAAAAACAGTCTCTCCTGTTTCAGGGATCCTAGGGTGGCAGGTCACTCTCTTCTATCTGTACTATTACTACTACCGATAATAAAGTTAATAACAGAATCTCTGCTCTAGCCATTGAAAGTTCATAGAGATTGTGTTTCATTCTCATGACCCTCTGGCAAATAAAAGGATTAAATAATCTCCATTTGACCCAGGAGAAGACCGAGTCTCAGAGAGTGAAGTGAGCAAGGGCATAGTCCCTTTTAGTGGCTAAGATCAAAAGGTTTTGGTTCAGGGCGCCTGGGTGGCTCAGTCGGTTGAGCGACTGCCTTCGGCTCAGGTCATGATCCCAGGGTCCTGGGATCGAGTCCCGCATCGGGCTCCCTGCTCGGCGGGAGGCCTGTTTCTCCCTCTCCCACTCCCCCTGCTTGTGTTCCCTCTCTCACTGTGTCTCTCTCTGTCAAATAAATAAATAAAATCTCTAAAAAAAAAAAAAAGGTTTTGGTTCAATGACTTCAGTCATTCCCTATCACCTTAGATTTTTGTCATCTCCTACCACCTTGAAGCTCCATTTGCCTTTAGAATTTGTCACATATATGTGCCACTTGCACTATTACTGACTTAATAGTCTTCCTTAAAATTACTCACATTATTTTTTTTTTAAGATTTTATTTAATTATTTGACAGAGAGAGACATAACAAGAGAGGGAACACAAGCAGGGGGAGTAGGAGAGGGAGAAGCAGGCTTCCCCGCGGAGCAGGGAGCCCGACGTGGGGCTCGATCCCAGGGTCCTGGGATCACGACCTGAGCTGAAGGCAGACGCTTAACGACTGAGCCACCCAGGCACCCCTCACATTATTTAAACAAACTTTATTTGAAAAGACAACCATGTCGGGACGCCTGGGTGGCTCAGTCGGTTAAGCATCTGATTTCTGTTCAGGTCATGATCTCAGGGTCCTGGGATGGAGCCCCACATGGGCCTCCGTGCTCAGCGGGAAGTCTGCTTCTCCCTCTCCCCCTGCTTCTCCCCCTGCTTGCTTGCTCTTTCTCTTTCAAATAAATAAATAAATAAAATCTTAAAAAAAAAAAAAGTGAATCCAGGGCCTCGTGGGTGGCTCACTCAGTTAAGCGCTGGACTCTTGGTTTCTGCTCAGGTCCTGATCTGCCCACTCAGGTCATGATCTCTAGATCACCAGGAATGAGCCCTGGGTGGGATTACTCGCTGAGGTGGAACCTCTTTGGGATTCTCTTTCTCCCTCTCTCCCTTCCCTCTCCCCTCACAGGTGTGCACTCTCTTAAAAAAAAAAAAAGTGAAAACCAAAATCTGTTATTTAATATAGCCTGATACCATTGCCTTCCTGAGCTGCTTTTTTGATTAAAAAGGAAGAACAAGAGAAAGAGGCATAATGTTAAAAACACACCAGCCCACCCTCACGCTGTCTCCTGGCATCCTCAGAGGAAAAGGAGCACTTTCCTGTGAGTCCCAGCAGGCCACATGAGCCATCTGAGAGTCACTCCTTGGGGCTGTGCACATCAGACATCTCTAGCATTCTCATGGCTCATTGCAGGGGGGCCCATGGCTTGAACTCCATATCTCTGATCCCACTATGATCAGGGAATGAGAACTGCTGTTGCTGACCCAGCAGGAGAGTAACATCTAGCCTTCTATTTGTCACCCCTACTGGTGGTATGCATGACAAGAACTGCCAAAGAGTCCCTGCGCTCCTAACAAAAAAAGCTGGGGGGGTAATTTCTGAGGTAGACAAAACGTTAAAATCTGAACTGCAAACAACTGTTTTTGTCAAGCCAGTGGTTGACTGTCCAGGGACCCAGTTCCTCCAAGTAAAACACAAATCCCACCACCTAATACCTGCTTGTTGACAAAGGAGCATTAGCTTCTCTGATATATATCTCCTCTTGGAGAATCCTATGAAATTTGCCAAATTTAAAGAAGAAATTACAAGTAATCCTTACATGACTAAAATTCATTGTAAACTATAGACCAGATTTTGCAATTTTTATTTAAAAATTCTTAGAAACTGAAGCCATATGGTCCCTTGGAAATATACCAACTACAGAGGCCACATCAGGCTTGGCAGGCTCTGCCACTGAGTCACCTTGGCCAGATCCTTTAACCCCCTTGCGGCTTCAGTTTCCCCAGCCATAAACTATGGTCTTACACACAGCCGTTGTTTATTGCATACTTACTCTATCCCAGGCACTGTGTTACGCACTTTGTGTACATGATCTCCGTTGGTCCTCCCACAACCCTAGAAATGGGTACTTTACCATCCCCATTTTACAGAGGAAGAAGCTGAGGCTCAGAGGTCATCAGCCTGGTAAGCTAGACTGTCTGGTCCTATATCATACACAATGCTACATTACACTGTTCCTGTGATTATTTAACAGGAAGGCTACTTTGGCATACTGAGAAGTGATTAAGGATTAAAATAAATGAGCGACAGATGGCAAAAAATGCCAGATATTCATGATAATGTGGAGCAACCAGAATCTCATACATTGTGGGAGTATAAATCCTTAGGACCACTTTGGAAAACTGGCATTTTCTAAATATATCTAAAGTAAATATATGCCTAACTTGCGATCCAGCAATTCCAACTCTAGGTAGATAACTCATAGAAATGCATGCATGTGTTGTGTTCGCTGTAAAACATGTTCAAAAATGTTCACAGCTGCACTTTTCTTTTTTCTTTTTAATTTGATTTATTTATGAGAGATAGGGAGAGAGGCAAAGGGAGAAGCAGGCTCCCTCCTCCGATGCGGGACTCAATCCCAGGACCCCAGGATCACAACCTGAGCTGAAGGCAGATGCTCAACCGACTGAGACACCCAGACACCCTGCACTTTTCAAAATAGCCCTTAATTAGAAACTACTTACATGCCCATCAACGGTAGAATGGGTAATTGTGGCATACTCACATAATGAAAAATTTTACACAATGAAAATGAACGTAGTGCTATTACAAGCAACAGGTATGTTGTGAGCAACATATTTTGCCCACAAATATAACATTGAGCAAAAGAAGCCAGAAAATAGAGTATGATTCTATTTTATATGCAGTATAAAGCAGACAAAAAGTTAGTCCATTCTGGGACTATTGCTTCTGGGACTCAGGAAAATTTCTATTTCTTGATCTGCCTATTGTTACATGGATGTGTTTACTTTGTAAAAATGAATAGAACCATGTGCTTATGATTTGTGCACTTTTCTGTATATATGTGATATTTCTCTTTTTAATGATTTATTTATTTGAGAGAGAGAGAGCACACACACATGCACATGCATGAGTGTGCACGAATGGAAGAAAAGCCTCAAGCAGACTCCCTGCTGAGCATGGAGCCCACCATGGGGCTCCATCCCATGACCCGATGCTTAACCAACTGAGCCACCCAGGCGCCCCTATATATGATATTTCAATAAGAAAACTC